GGCTATATAAAATGGCCTTTGAAGATCATAGAAGAGAGAGGCCTATGTACATTCTAGAGAAGAGTCAAGGAAAGTTTTAGGAAGAAAATAGGTTTATAGCTTGGCCTAAGTAGGATTTGGCTAGTAGGAATGGAGGAGAAAAAATCATTATTCTAGACCTAGTGACAGGAATATGTATGAGATGTAAATAGGATTTTCTCAGTATCTTCAAGGTCTCATGTCCAGGCCCCCAATAAGCCCTCGAGGAAAGGCATTTTAAAGCATATTCTGCTTCTCTAAAGTTTGAATATGCATATCTATAGTAGATATGTTCTAGAAAATTACATTGTTATTTATAGAGTAACAAAACAATTTATTGTGTGGTAATGATAGACATTCTTGAGAGCAAAAGAGGATGCCATTAAAAATTACAGCAGGGGAACAGATGTAAATGGGACCCTGGGTACATCGAAACATATGTCACCCAAGCTATTAACCATAAACACATGCTGTCTAACTTCTGTTAAATTCTCTCTTGTTGATTTCCTGCTATAGTTCCATAGAGGTTATTCAAAACTAATGTTTTTTCACCGTGTGGCTTGTACCCCCATTAGTGGGTCATAAAATCAATTTGGTGGATGGCGCCAGCCTTAAAAATTATAATGGGAATGAGATGCCTGGCTGGCTCAGTTGGTAGAACATGTGACTCTTGGTCTCAGGGTCCTGAGTTTGAGCCGCACATTGAATATAGACATTACTTAAAAAATAAAAAATTAAAAAATATATAATGGAAATAAAAACATCAGTATATTACATGTAGTAAGTATAAGTAGTATTTTGGTTAATGATAAACATGCAAGTATACCCCATATATGCAATGTATCCAGACAAAAGTGTCCATTACTACTGACAGTAAGTTATTTGGTTACCCTATGTTTTAAAAAATATTTTATTTATTTTTTATTCATGAGAGGCACAGAGGGAGGCAGAGACATAGACAGAGGGAGAAGCAGGCTCCCTGTGGGGAGCCTGATGTGGGACTTGGTCCAAGGATCCCAGGATCACTACCTGAGCCAAAGGCAGATGCTCAACCACTGAGCCACCCAGGTGCCCCTGGTTACCCTATTATTTTTTTTTTTAGGATTTATTTATTTATTTATTTATTTATTTATTTATTTATTTATTCAGAGAGAGAGAGAGAGAGGCAGAGACAGGCAGAGGGAGAAGCAGGCTCCATGCAGGGAGCCCAATGTGGGACTCGATCCCAGGTCTCCAGGATCACACCTTGGGCTGCAGGTGGCGCTAAACTGCTGTGCCACCAGGGCTGCCTCAGGTTACCCTATTAATAGAAGATATATACATATATATTTACATATATAAAATTAAAATAAGATATCATTAACTAACTATCATGTATAACTATGTAATACAATAAAATAATTTAGATATACTATGTATAATACAATATATTAAATAGCATATATGTATTTGGACAGGACATCTACCTCATAGTCTAAATTAGCTGTGTAAACTCTAGACATGCTTGCAATCCAGTGAGAAGGAATGACACTTTCCTAAAAGTTGCATGCTATATAACTTCTTACGTCTACTATTTGGACTTATGGCCACATCATGTTGCAAGAGAGACTAAGAGATAGTTTTATTTCAGTATAAATATTGGTTTTTAAAAAATGTGTGGTTAAAAAAAAGAATGGGGTTCTGTTCCTAAGGAAGGGGAGATCAGATTTTGGGGAAGACAGCTATGTCTGAGTACTATATCAAAGGCTCACATAATCATGAGGAGCCTGGAAATGAGCAGGAACCAAGGGTACTCTGGAGGGTCAGACCACAAGAACCACAGCATGTTCTCATAGCAAGAAGTTTGATCAGTACAACCTTGCTGTCACCGATGAATGACCTTCAATTAGCCTCATGTTAATGTGTCCCTTGTTCAGGTGTTAAGATCCTGGTCACTCACATGTGAAAGCTAGAAAAACTTAGCTCACAGATACAGAGAACAGATTGGTGGTTGCCAGAAGTGGAGTTAGGGATAGGTGAAATGGGTGAAGAGGGCCAAAAGGTAAAAATTTTCATTTATAAGATCAATATGTTCTGGGAATGCACTGTACAGCATAGCGAGTATAGTTAACATAACTATTGAAGTAAATACAATACTGTATTGTATTTGAATGTTGTTAAGAGATTAAATCTTAAAAGTTTGCAACACAAACTTTGTAATTATGTGAGATGATGGATGTTAACTTACCCTGGTGATCATTTTATAATGTATACATAGATCAAATTATTATGTTGTGTACGTTAAACTGATACAATGCTATATGTGAATAAAAAATGAAATAATTAAAAACAACAGCAGAAAGAGTCCCAAGATCCTAGGATTGAGCAGCTGATTGGCAGAGCCTAATTTATATTCTTGCCCCCAACCTTGTGCTGAGACGGAGAGTAGGAGGATCTTGCTTCTTTGGCTTACATAGTGGAAAGTTCCTTTATCTTTCACTAGAAATCTCCAAAATGGAGATTGGGATTCTTTAAGAAAGTGTGTGTGTGTGTGTGTGTGTTGGGAAGATGGAGAGTTAGATGATAGCACTCAAAAGGATTATAGGTTTTCTTTATATTCTGTAAAATGAAGGAATTAAATGAAACAATTTCAAAGATAAAGTTTGGGCCACATCTTATGGTGGAGTCATCGTTGATTGGCTAACAACTCCCATTCTCACCCCATATACCTTGCTTGCTTCTTATAAAAGCAGGAAAATTGAGAAACGTTATTTTTTTTGCTTCTTTTAAGTAAGGGATACAATCTGGCCTTTGTTCGGGCTTGTTCGGAGAGATTTTTTTTTTTATTTCCTTTTAAAAAGGATGGATGGCATAGATATCCTCTAGAGGATTCCGCCTTTTTCCTGCTTCAAATGCAGATGTGATGCCAGGAATTATGACAGCTCTCATGTCACTATGAGGCAACAGCCATGATGATGAAGGTCTTACACTCTATGATGACATAAAAAGCTAGAAAGAGCTTGGATCTATATTTTTGAGCTGCTGAACCATCTCCACCTTTAAATTTCTTGTTATGTGAGGAAATCTCTTACTTTTGAAAGCTAATCTTATTATCTTTCTGTTGTAATCAAAGAATTCCTAACTTCAACAGCTTACAAGTATTTATATATTTAGTGAAGGTAGAGATTAATGTAGGGCTATGATAGATAGAGATATTATTCTAACTAGATTTCCCTTCCTTCTGATTTCTGAATGACCAAATCTTGCCTATTCTTTATGGCCCAGCTTAAATACTTTTTATTTTTATTTTTTTACTAACTATATGAATCATGTATCCCATTTCCTGTGTCTTCCTCCTACCCTCCTGCCACAAACATGTCCTAAATCTTGTGTTGAATCTTGCTTTTCTTTTTTTTAAATAGTGTTCCTGAGTCTATTTGCATTGCTAAAAGTCAATTTTAACTGCTTTGAACTTTACAGAAATATATCTTGGTATATATAATCCAAAAGATTATACTTTTGGATCTACTTTTTCCTGTTAATATTATATTGCTAAGATTTATTTATATTATATGCTTCAGTTACTTACTGCTGCATGACAAATTATCCCCAAACTTTGATAGTGTAAAATAGCACACATTCATTATCTCCCAATTTCTCTGGCTCAGGAATCTGGGCACAGCTTAGTTAGATCTTTTACTTTGGCTTCTCTCACAAAGCTGCAGTTAGTGTGTTGCCTGTGACTGAAGTCATCTCAAGGTTCAACTGGACAGATCCACTTCCAAACTCATTCAGTGGTTGTTGGCAGAGTTAAGTTCCTCATGGGTTAGTGGACTGAGGGCTTCTGTTCCCTCCTGGCTATTGGCCAGAGGTTGCCCTCTGTTCCTTGTATGATGGCCCTCTCCATCATACACACCAGAAGAGTCAGAGAATACCAACACCAGTCACAATCTGCTATAACTGAACTGTGGAAATGACATCCCATCACTGTTGCTGTATCTTCATTATAAGAAAGTCACTATGTCCAGGCTGCATTTCAGGGGGAGGAAATTACACAAGAGTATGAATACCAGGAGACAGGGTAAGACAGGGTGAGAGTCATTGAAAGCCATGTTAGAAGTTGCCTACCACATGGTATCACTATAATATGTTCATTTGAACTACTTATACTATTTTGTATGAATATGCTACAGTTTATGCTCACTCCTTTTCTTGGGCTTTGTTTTCCTGCCAGGATTTTTGCTGTTAAGAACAGTGATGCAACAAACATTCCTATACACATGAAGGGCACTGTGCTACTCTTCTCTGAATCATTACCAATTTAGTATGTGTTCTGCCAGAGTGAGCATGAAGAATTCCTTGATTAATTGTGCCTGGAATTAGTCTCATTCCTTCTGAACTCTCATAGCATACTTCATGTCTTATGATACTTAGCACATGTTACATTTTATCACACTTATTTTGTGTCATATTTTCTCCCTTGAAATAGTAAGTCATTGAAGGCAGGAAATAAATTTGGTTCTTTCTTGTAATTTACATAGTGCCTGCACAGCGCTTATAATATTAGTAAGCTTTCAGTGAACAGTTCTGAATGAATAATTCTATCTCAGTGTCAGTGCCTAATTTTAAGAGTTTTAATCTGGCTCCAGTAATCCCTCTGTGTTTCTCACTTTCCCCCAGCATGGACCCTTTTTTAGGCAAGTGAATCTGTTCAACATTCATTCTCTTTGAATCTTTTCCTAATAAATCTGGCCACATTGATCTGTTTTTTCTTCTGTTCCGGTTGAATTTACTCTTTATATCACACATTTAGCATTTTAGTATATATTTAGACAGTGTGCACAATAAACTTTTTGATTGCATGGATGAAGTGTCTTATTTTATAATTATTTTCAACTAGTTAAGTATTTTTATCCCACCTATATTGTCAGTTGACTGATAAAATAAGCAAATAAACAAATATTGATTTGTTCAAGTAGATTACTATTACTTTCTTTTTTTAGCCTCAGGTATTTTTGGTGTTAATGGAGCCAGAAGGACCTTCTGAATCAGAGAGTTCAGAAAAGTCAATATTTTTCTCACAGCAAGAAGAAGAAGAAGAGGAAGAAGAAGAAGAAGAAGAAGGGAAAGAACCAGAGGAAACAGGCACTGTTAATCCTCTCTTACAACCTGCTCTCACAGGGGATGTAGAAGGTTTGCAGAAGATTTTTGAGGATCCTGAGAACCCTCATCATGAACAGGCCATGCAGCTACTCTTGGAAGAAGACATCGTTGGGAGAAATTTGTTGTATGCGGCTTGCATGGCTGGGCAAAGTGATGTGATTAGAGCTTTGGCAAAGTATGGTGTGAATCTGAATGAAAAAACCACCAGAGGTATTTTGTCTTTTTTCTCTCATCAGTATTACTTAGAACTATCTAAAGATGCCACATACTATCTCTAAAGTTGGATAAATTTGATGTGCCTTCTTTATATTTTGTGTATATTATATGTGTATACATATATATGAATGTATACTATATACATGTTGATATAGTAAAGCATAGTAGTTAAGTACACATCACTTTTTTTTGAGAGACAGTGTGCATACGCATTCATGAGTGGGATGGGAGAAGGGCAGAGGAAGACTTTTTTAAATTTAAATTCAGTTTAATTAATATACTGTATTATTAGTTTCAGAAGTAGAATTTAGGGACCCCTGGATGGCTCAGTGGTTGAGCATCTGCCTTTGGGTCCCAGGATCAGGTCCTGTATTGGGCTTCCTGCATGGAGCCTGCTTCTCCCTCTGCCTGTGTCTCTGCCTCTCTCTCTGTGTGTCTCTCATAATTTTTTAAAAATCTTAAAAAAAAGAATTTAGTGATTCATCAGTTGCATATAACACCCAGTGCTCATTATATTATGTGCCCTTTAATGCCCATCACACAGTTATCCTATCTCCCCATCACCTCCCCTCCAATAACCCTCAGTTTGTTTCCTATAGTTAAGAGTCTCTTAAGCTTTACCTCCCTCTCTGTTTTCATCTTATTTTTCCTATATATTTTTCCTATGTACCACTATTTTGTTTCTTAAATTCCACATATGAGTGAAATCATATGGTATTTGTATTTCTCTGACTGATTTATTTCACTTAGCATAATATCCTTTAGTTCCATCTACATCATTGCAAATGACAAAATTTCATTCTTTTTGATGGCTGAATTATATACACACACACACACACACACACACCCCAGCTCTTCCTCATCTATTTGTCTGTCAGTGGACATCTGTGCTCTTTCCATATTTTGGCTATTGTGGGCACTGCTGCTCTAAACATTGGGGTGCATATGCCCCTTCAGATCACTAGGTTTGTATCCTTTGGGTAAATACCTAGTAATGCAATTACTGGGTCACAGGGTAGCTCTATTTTTTGAAAGATTTTATTTATTTATTTGACAGACAGAGAGAGAGAGAGAGAGAGAAAAGGAGAGCATGCGCCAGGGGGGGAGAGGCAGAGAGAGAAGCAGGCTCCCCTCCCTGAGCAGGGAGCCGGATGCTTGCCTTGATCTAGGAACCCTGAGATACTGACCAGAGCTGAAGGCAGACACAACTGACTGAGCCACCCAAGTGTCCTGGGTAGCTGTATTTTTAACTTTTTGAGGAACCTCCATACTATTTTCCAGAGTGGCTGCACGAGTTTGCATTCCCACCAACAGTGTAAGAAAGTTTTCTCTGCATCTTCCCCCACAACTGTCACTTCCTGACTTGTTAATTTTAGCCATCTGACCAGTATGAGGTGGTATCTCATTTAGATTTGATTTGTATTTCCCTGATGCCAAGTGATGTTGAATATTTTTTCATGTGTCTTTTGGCCATTTGTATGTCTTCTCTAGAGATGAGTGTGATACTTTAAAAAAAAAAAAAGATTTTGGATACTAGCCCTTTACCTGATAAGACATTGCAAATATCTTCTCCCATTCTGTAGGTTGCCTTTTAGTTTTGTTGACTGTTTGCTGTGCAGAAGCTTTTTATCTTGATTAAGTTCCAACCATTTATTTTTGCTTTTGTTTCTCCTAACTTTGGAAACGTGTCTAGGAAGAAGCTGCTGTGGCCAAGGTCAAAGACGTTGCTGCCTATTTTCTCTAGGATTTTGATGGATTCCTGTCTCACATTTAGGTTTTTCAACCATTTAGAGTTTATTTTTGTATATGGTGTAAGAAAGTAGTCCAGTTTCATTCTCCTGCATGTGACTGTCCAATTTTCCCAACACCATTTGTTAAACAGACTGTCTTTTTCCATTGGATATTCGTTCTTTGACCATAGAGTTGAGGGTCCATTTGTGGTTTTTTTTTTTTATTCCATTCTCTATTCTGTATTCCATTGACCTATGTGTCTGTTTTTGTACCAGTACCATACTGTCTTGATGATTACAACTTTGTAATACAGCTTGAAGTCCAGAATTGTGATACCTCCAGCTTTGCTTTTCTTTTTCAATGTTACTTTGGCTGTTCGGGGTCTTTTCTGTTTCTATACAAATTTTAGGATTGTTTGTTCCAGCTCTGTGAAAAATGTTGATGGTATTTTGATAGGGATTGCTTTGAATGTGTAGATTGCTTTGGGTAGCATAGACATTTAACAATATTTGTTCTTTGAATCCATGAACATGGAATGTTTTTCCATTTCTTTGTGTCTTCTTCAACTTCTTTCATAAGTGTTCTGTAGTTTTCAGAGTACAGATCCTTTACGTCTTTGGTTGGGTTTATTTGTAGGTATCTTGTTGTTTTTGGTGAAATTCTAAGTCGGATAGATTCCTTGATTTCTCTTCTGCCTCATTGTTAGTGTATAGGAATGTGATTAACTTCGGTGCAGTGATTATAATATACTGTGATTTTTGCTGGATTCCTGAGTCAGTTCTAGCAGTTTTTTGCTGGAATCCTTTGGGTTTTCTATGTAGAGTATCATGTTGTCTGCAAAGAATGAAAGTTTGACTTCTTTGGATGAATTTGGATGTTTTTTAATTTATTTTTGTTGTCTGATTGCTGAGGCTAGGACTTCTAGCCTTTCTTTTTGATAACTCTGTTGAGGAGTTTATCAGTATTATTAATTCTTTCAAAGAACCAGCTCTTAATTTTGTTGATATGTTCTACTATATTTTTGATCTCTATTATTGGTTTCTGCTTACATCTTTATTATTTTTTGTCTCCTGCTATATTTAGGGTTTATTTGCTTTCTTTATCCAGCTCCTTTAGGTATAATGTTAGGTTGTATACTTAAGACTTTTCTTTCTTTTTTTAAATAATTTTTAAAAATATTATTTATTTATTTATTCATGAAAGACACACATAGAGAGAGGCAGAGACAGGCAGAGGGGGAAGTAGGCTCCTTGCAGGGAGCCCAATACGGGACTTGATCCTGGGACCCCTGATCATGACCTGAGCCAAAGGCAGACGCTCAACCACTGAGCCACCCAGGCAGCCTTGAGACTTCTCATTTCTTGAGAAATACCTGTATTGCAATATACTTACCTCCCTCTTAGGACTGATTTTGCTGCATCTCAAAGGTTCTGAACTGTTATGTTTTCATTTTCATTTTCTTCCATGTATTTTAAAAAATTCTTCTTTAATTGCCTGGTTAACCCATTCATTCTTTAGTGGGATACTCTTTGACCTCCATGTATTTGTGGTCCTTTCAAATTTTTTCTTGTAGTTGACTTTATTTATTTATTTTTAAATATTTTATTTATTTATTCATGAGAGACACACACACACACAGAGAGAAAGGGGCAGAGACACAGGCAGAGGGAGAAGCAGGCTCCACACAGGGAGCCCAATGTGGGATTTGATCCTGGGTCTCCAGGATCATGCCCTGGGCTGAAGGTGGTGCCAAACTGCTGAGCCACGGGGGCTGCCCTTGTAGTTGACTTTAGGTTTTAAAGCACTGTGGTCTGAAAATTTGTATGGTATAATCTCAGTCTTTTTCTATTGGTTAATTTGTGACTCTTTATATGATCTACTCTAGAGAATATTTCATGTGTAATTGAGAAGAATGTGTATTCTGCTTTACGATGGAATGTTCTGAATATATCTGTGAAGTCCGTCTGGTCCAGTGTGTCATTCAAAGCCCTTATTTTCTTATTGATCTTCTGCTTAGAAGATCTGTCCATTGCTGTAAGTTGAGTGTTAAAGTCCCCTACTATTATTGTATTGCTATCTATGGATTTCTTTAATTTTGTTGCTAATTAGGTTATATTGCTGGCTGCTTCCAAGATAGGGGCATAAATGTTTACAATTGTTAGATCTTTTTGTTGGAGAGACCCTTTTATTTTGATATAGTGTTTTTCTGCATCACTTATTCTAGTCTTTGGTTTAAAATCTAGTTTGTCTAGTATAAGAATAGCTTCTCTAGCTTTTTTTGGATATCCATTGTCATGGTAAATGGTTTCCTACTCCCTTACTTTCTATTTGGAGGTGTCTTGGGGTCTAACATGAGTCTCTTGTAAGCAGCATATAAGATGGATCTTGTTTTTTCATCTATCCTGATATCCTATATCTTTTGATTTGATGAGCATTTATTTAGTCCATTTTCATTCAGAGTAGTTATTGAAAGATATGAAGTTAGTGACATTGTGTTACCTGTAAAGTTCCTGTAGATTGTGTTCCTTTCTGGTCTTTGTTACTTTGGGGCTCTCTTTTTTTTTTCTTTTTTTAAGATTTTATTTATTTATTCATGAGAGACACAGAGAGAAAGAGAGAGAGAGGCAGAGACACAGGCAGAGGGAGAAGCAGGCTCCGTGCAGCCTGATGTGGGACTCGATCCGGGAATTCCAGGATCACACCCTGGGCTGAAGGCAGGTGCTAAACCACTGAGCCACCCAGGGATCCTCTGGGCTCTTTTTTTGCTTAAAGGATCCTGTTTAATATTTCTTGCAGGGCTGGTTTAGTTTCACAAATTCCTTTAGTTTTTGTTTATTCTGGAACCTCTTTATCTCTCCTTCTATTCTGAATGACAGCCTTGTTGGATAAAGTATTCTTGGCTGCATATTTTCCCCATTTTTCCCATGTTGAATAGATCATACCAGTCCTTTGTAGCCTGCCAGCTCTCTGTGGATAGGTCTGCTCCCAGCCTTATGTTTCTACCTTTGCAGGTTAAAGACCTCTTGTCCTGAGCTGTTTGGGGGACTTTTTTCTTTATCTTTGAAATTTACAAGCTTTACTATTTTACCTATTTTTATTGATTTTGAAGGGTGTTCTCTGTGTCTCCTGGACTTGAATGCTGTTTTCCTCTCCAGATTCGGGAAGTTCTAAGCTATAATTTGTTCAAATAAACCTTCTTCTGTCCCTTAGAGATAGAGAGAATCTTATGCAGGCTCTATGTCCAGCACGGAGCCCACTGTTGG